GGTTCAATCCCCCAGCACCACACGCCAGCCAGCCCCACCCCCTGGTGGGCTGAGCTGGCCACACACACACACACATAAATAAATAAAAAAATTTAAAAAAAGAAATATCTGTCATATTAAAACATTTCTGTTCACATATTAAAAAACATCACCAAACAAATGCCTTGAGTAAAGATATGAATCTGGAGTTGATATCACAATTCATGCCCTATGTTTATGTTTCTAAATATTGACTGCAACTCAATTTTAATCAAGAAAAAAACATAACACTTAGAGGATGGTTATATTTATAACATGTTGACAGCTCCATGATTACATGATGACAATTTCAGTCTCCCCAAGATGTACCCATTAAATATATGTACCTTTTTGTCCATGCTTTAATACAATTTTTAAGTCACAATAGAAACCAAAAAAATTCCTCTAACATTTGCATATACTTTCCATTTAAAGGTATGTTCAGAATTATTAAAATGTTTCCCTTTCCAAAAACACTCACATTTTGCTCACAATTCTCAATGCTTCTGGAGCAGGAACAGAACTTCCTGGCTCTGTGGTCTCTGCCTCAGCCTGGATGGGTTTGGGTGCAGCTGCAGGTGCCCGGGGAGCAGTGTGCGTTTACTGTGCAGAGGTAGGTGGCTGAGTCGCTGTTCTGGGAGCCCGAGATGTCCAGGGAGACAAACTGACTGGCTGTGTTGAGCTGCATTCTGAATCTTCCTTCCTTTTTCTCATCATTGGAGTATGTGTACACCAGAAGCACAAGGCCTTCTCCAGGACACTGTCGGTACCAGTAGAAGTACAGAAAAGCACTATCCCTGTAAGTGCAGTTCAGAGAGGCGGTGGCTCCCTCTGGAACATGGAGGGACTCAGGACTCTGCTCTACCTCCTTCTGCTGGCCGCTCACCCCTGGGGAAAAAGACAACAGACAAAGAAGTTTGGCTGGGTAGTGGGTGCTCACTCTCCAGAATAAAAGTTGTCTTTTCAGGGCTTTCCCAGTCCCCCCTTATTTGGAGGATAAAACCATTTACATCCATCCCATAGTCCTGGCACAGACAACCACTTTGTAAATTGTACTTTAAGTTCCCAAAGAAATGCCCCACTCACAGATGCACTGAAGCCACAGGAGCACTATCACAGTGCCGAGGGACTCCATGACTCTGCCCTTGGTTACTTCTGAAAAGAAAAGGTGTTCTGTTATTCTTTTAGTGATCTAAGCCCATTCTCTCTCTCTCTCTCTCTCTCTCTCTCTCTCTCTCTCTCTCTCTCTCT